GTTTCCCCATCACTTGCCATCATCCAGGTGCTGCTCCGATCCCACAACGCGGCCCCTTTTCCCCAAGTACCTGGCTGCGCTCCGGGGCCTCGCGGCTCACCGGCTCCGCCATAGCCGCTCCGCTGGCTCCGCCCTGACCTCAGCCGGTAGCGACAGCGACAGCGCCCCCTGCTGCTCAAGGATGGGATCGGCAGGGAACATCTCGCCTTCACGCCACTGTCTCGGCACCCAGTTGTGGTCTCACGGAGGACGGGGAGAAGTTGATTGGGCAGAGGACCGAAAAGCCACCCCTCCCTCCCTCCCTCCCTCCCTCCCTTCCTTCCTTCCTTCCTTCCTTTATTTACTCACTCATGTATAACAGGAATAAGCAGGAATAAGAACACAGGAAATGGATACAAATAAATGGGGCCAGTAGGACAGAGACGGTAGGCACTCTGGTGCGCTTATGCCAGGGGTGTCCAAACTTAGGAACTTTAAGACTTGGTGGACTTCAACTCCCAGAATTCCCCAGCCAGCATGCTGGCTGGGGAATTCTGGGAGTTGAAGCCCACAAGTTTTAAAGTCCCCAAATTTGGACACCCCTGGCTCATGCGCTTATGGTGCGCTTTGTCCAGCGGACTGTAGTGGGGAGGGGGGGAGCGGGACGACACACAACCAACTCGGGAGCGCGGCGCGGGTGGCAGCTCGCCCCGCGGGTGTCCGCCAACCGAAGGATTTGCGCAGGCAAGTCTGCTGCTGCGATGCGGAGGACAATTGCCGATGGGCAGGCGTGTCTTTGTCCCGCTCCACACACCGCGCAAATGCTCGGGCTAATACATCACAATGGCTGCATTATGCAGTACCAAGGGAACTCTTGTTTTGTTGCGCCCCACCACGTAGTATTTAAAGAAAGACAGCCGCCGCATTTCTACGATTTGCTGACGCCGTTAGCGTCTTAGGTGCGTGGTGCAATCTACGGTTGGGCTTAAGCGTAGTACACAAAATTATCCGCTACAACGTCCTACCTGTCAATGATTATTTCAGCTTCAACCGGAATAATACAAGAGTACGCAACAGATACAAACTTCAAGGTAAAGCGCTCCAAACTCGATTGCAGAAAATACGACTTCAGCAACAGAGTGGTCAATGCCGGGAATGCGCTACCCGACTCTTGTTACATCTTCAAATCCCCATAACTTCAACCTTAAACTGTCTACTGTTGACCTCACCGCATTCCTAAGAGGTCCGTAAAGGGCACCATCGTGCCTACCGTCCCTATCCTACTGTCCCTATTTATTTGTACTCATTTCATTCATACTCATATTTACTCTTATACCTATTATTTTGTAAACGAATGAATGAATGAATAAATAAATATAAAAAATAAAATAAAATACTCGCACTGATCACCCGAGCTCTCAGGCGTAAGCTGATGGAGATGAGACGGAGAGACCTGTCGGGCCCTGCAATCCTGCTTATTGCAGCTCGCAGGTAACATTAGCGCAGTGTTTCTCAACCTTAGCAACTTGAAGATGTCCGGACTTCAACTCCCAGAATTCCCCAGCCAGCATTCGCTGGCTGGGGAATTCTGGGAGTTGAAG